CATTCATCCACCCAAGATAATAATAATAATAATAATAATAATAATAATAATAATAATAGGAAGAAGAAAAAGAAAGCAATTCGGAATAATGACGATAAAACAGGAATAGCTGGTTCTGGGGGACTGCCTGGTCATTGTAGTTGCTGCTCGTTTAGGTCAATACTTCACTGCTGAGGTCCGTGCAGCTTCCAGGAGAGTCTTTGTAGCTCAAGCCTCCCTGAGAAGGCAGTACTACTAGCTCCAGAGGACCGTCACATGCTCTATTTTTAAGTTGTGTATTTAAGCTTTCAGTAAATCAATCGCTACTCTTCTTTAATTAGCCCATAAAGAGAAAAAAAAACCCATTCCTGGTAAAAGCTACAATAATAATCCAACTGTTTAAAAATGATCACCACAAACGACCATGAGAGTTTAATTGCATTGGATCTTTTATTACATGTGAGACTGTCAGTGAGTACTCGAGCACATAATGCAGTTTATCTGTATTTCTCAGACAGGGCGAGAGCAACAGCAGCCAGGAACTTGTCCACAGCCACATGGACCTCAGGGGTGAAGTCCTCGGGGAACATGGTGGACAGGACCACGAGGAGGTTGTGAGACAGAACCTGTGGAAAGATGATGAATGGACTTTTCATTTATTTATTTGTAACCAGAGAACATCATTTCAGATCAACCAATAATCTATCTAAGATCAAATGAAAGATGAGTTAGAGTGAGTTTAATTTGTAGTCCAATCAGTGTTCACAATAGAACAGAAAAATTAATTTGGCAAACGCTGTCATAGTAAATGGACCAATGTATACAAATTGCTTTTCTAGTCTACTGGAGCATTCAAAGCACTTCGTACAACTTGCCTAATTGACCCATTCATACAAGTACTTCTTTTTCTATGACTAGGCTTTTTTCTCTCTAACATTCACACAAATTCACACTTCAGTGATTACACTGAACCACAAACTTTTTATTAAGTAGATGACCTCAAATAATGTCACCCCACAAACATGATAGTAATAATGATCTGTACCTTGAAGTTAGCAGGGTCCACTCTCAGAGTGAAGGCATGCAGCTCACTGAGGCTCAGAAGAGCTCCGGTCAGATCGTCAATTTTGCTGACAGCATCAGTAACTGCAGCCATCACGGTTGCTCCGTGCTTCTTCACCGGGGCAGAGCCAGGGCGCAGGTCCTTCCAGTGGGAGAAGTAAGTCTTGGTCTGAGGGTACACTGTCAGCATCCTGGATAAAAATGTAAGAGAACAAGCCAGCGGGTAAGAGACAGAAATGCAGGAGCAGGTTTTTGTAGGCAGTGTGGGGCCATATTTACCTGGAGACAGCATCACAGCCGATTTGTTCCTCCTTACCAGCCACTTTAGCCCAGAAGGCTTTGACTGTGTTCTTGTCCTTTGCAGAAAGACTGGTCATCTTGCCTGTTGTTGCTGTTGGAGTTGTGTTCAGCTCATTCTGTGGAGGTCTTATATATGAAACAGGAAATGCACACACCCAACCCACCTCACAGATAAGGTACTGGAATTTAGGCATGTTCAAAATGATATGTAACAGTTCCCGTGAGACAAATACCAAACAAAAGACTCTATAAGGCAAGACAACTTAACAAGATAATCAGAATTCATTTCTTCTTTTTGGCTTCACTTAAGAAACATCTTCATTAAATGAATGTGCATATTTTAAAACTTAAATTTTCAGTGAGAGCCAGTTAAATCAAATCAGTAACCTTCCAATTTTTGAATTTATATCAGTCTAATATTACCATTTAATTCACGACAAGTCACCTGTTAGTTTGTATTTCTTTATTTATTTATGTATTTAATAATAATAATTTGAGAAAAAGCAAAATGGGTACATGGCTATAACTTTAAAAAGGCTATTGGCTTCAAATTTGGGTCTGGACAGATAGTTGGATTTATAGCAGGGCTTATACTTATACTATACTGTTGTTTAGGCTATCATTTACCAACACTACAACCAAAATCTATGTCAATGACATTCACTTCAAAAAACCGTGTCAGTTTAAGGCTTATCTAATCTTCAGCAGGTGAATCCTCTCACAGGGCAGTTTAAATTTTTACAGCAGCTGTTTGTTCTCCACAGGAGCTCAAATGTAGCTCAGAGTGGACAGTTGCTACTGATATATTGAGGTAAAGTTAAACATCAGGTGTAGAAATTTGAAGATGAAAAACAGGTTTTAAAATATGGCAGAAATACTGAAAATATTTAAGAGAATGACAGAAAAGGTTTTGTGGATAACCAGAAAAAAACAAAAGCTGAGACAAAGTTATTTAATTTTTTTTCTACTTACAGCCAGTCAATAAAGGCCTGTAGGATGTGTGGGTGTACCATTCTTTTCTTGTCATTTTCCTCTTTAAGAAAACTCTTTGCCAAGTTTATTTATTAAACGCATGTACAAATGGCAAATGCAGGACCTTAATGCTATGGTTTGGTCATATGTTAAAATTAAAATCTGTGGAATCTGGTCCATTTGAAAAACAAACAAACAAAAAACATATATTATTTACAAGCACAAGAAGTTTTTTTTCACTGAAATTTAGAATTCATTATTTTACAAAGGATATACTCATTGTACTTCATCCAGTTCTTTATTTCTATCCAGGTCTGCAAAATATTTTTGATTATCTTACTTCCAATTTTCTTAACTGTTAGGGGTCACTCAGGGCTGGAGCCTATCCCAAGATAGAAGAATAAGTAGTCTGTAAGATATTCCATAATGAAAGTTTCCAACAGATTTTTGGTTAATTTTGACAGTTAATCAAAGCTGAACTCAGAATCGTTAAACTGACCAGTTTAGCCAACTCCCACTCTCCAACTCCACCCAATTTCATATCTTTGGGTGGAGTGAAAAGAACTCTTTAAAAGGTGACTTTGTGGCTCTGCTGACTAACAGCACAAGAGCAACAATCAACAAACAAAAATGGTTGTGTGGACAGACTTTGAGCGCACCACAATCCAGGACATCTTCTCCAAGATCAACTATGCAGTCGTTGGGCAAGCAGCTTTTTCCAGGTGAAACATAGTTTTTTTTTTTATTGACGTAAATTTGTTTTTAGAAGTTTGGGCTATTCAAGTAGAATCTTTATGTGCAATGAAAAAAGCTGGCATATTTTGTGCATTACACAATGTAAATTTTTCTTTTAGAACTAAGAGCAAATCAACTATTTACACATTCCCTCAGGTGTTTGATTGTCTATCCCTGGACTCAGAGGTATTTTGGTCAATTTGGAAACCTCTACAATGCTGCTGCTATTGCATCAAATCCAAAAGTTGCTGCTCATGGAAAAGTCATCATGGAAGCTCTGGAAAAAGCAGTGAAGGACATGGACAACATCAAGGCCACATATGCAGAGCTGAGCGCGCTGCACTCTGAGAAACTGCAGGTGGACCCTGACAATTTCATGGTAGGCAATGCTGAACTGACGGCACTGATTCCCAGTATTGCATGTTTGTGTGTGTCAATGAAGATTGCTAAAGCATGTTGTGCTGTGTTGCAGCTCCTGGGCGACTGCTTGACCATTGTGGTTGCTTCCCAGTTGGGTAAAAACTTCACTGCTGAGGTTCATGCAGCTTTCCAGAAGTTCCTGGCAGTGGTGGTGTCCTCCCTCAGAAGACAGTACTACTAAAGAGCTGCAGATGCCCGTCACATGCTCTGTTATTAATTGTGCCTCAATACGTTTTTAAAAAAATAAAATATTAAGCAACTTCAGAAAGTTCCCAGTGCCTTTCTTTTTTTCACTTGCTTTATTATCTTTAAGTTTTAATACAATGTCCTTTGCAAAAACCTTGTATGGACTGCTTAAGGATTAAAGCCATTTTTAAATGCTTGGATGAAAAGACTCTGCAGCCAATTGCTGCCTGAAATCCAGAACCCATGTAAATCACCAAATGTTGTTTCCTCTGTTGAGTTGTTTTGATAGGCCTTGACTGTAGCCTCCAGTTGCTGCTTATTTGTGGAAAGGCATGCTCTGTTGGACAGAGATCAGGTGATTGACTTGGAGACTGTGAACATCCAATTTCTTTGCCTTGAGAAACTCTTGGAATATTTTTGTAGTATGTTTTTTTGCACTGCAAAAAACAGTCTGATAATTTTTTTACAGCATTTCACAAATTCTGAGCCAAGAGTATGGTCCTGTAAATTTCATAATTCACCCAGATACTTCTATCAGCAATCACATCATCAATAAACACTGACTACCCACTTCCATTGGCAGCCATTCATTCCCATGCCATAACACTGCCTCCACCATTCTCCACATGCTTCACATCATGAGCTGCTTCTCTCCTTCTCCCAAATTAATTCCCAAATGTTATATTTTTTCTTACAGATCTGTGCAGGATCTTTCACATGTTTTCTGGCAAAGTCTAGTCTCATCTCCCTGGCTGTCACTGTATTCTGTGGTTTGTTGTAAACTCTATTTCCATTCATGCACACATCTCTTAATTGAAGACTCTGACAGTGATACACCAGCCTCTTCAAGTAGGTTTTTGGCTTAGTTACATGTCGTGACAATTGGTTTTCATTGAAATAATTCAGTGATTATGCACTTGTCCTTTTTTGTTCTGGTGTTTCTGAGTTGGTCAGTGCATTCATTCTTTAAAAAAAAAAAAAAGCTGAAAGAAAGCCTGCACTTTCTTGTTTTCAATCCAGTGTGTTGGTGTACAAAGGCAAAATTGCACATTTTTTAAATTTTTATGTTTGTCCCAACTAATATGGAAGTGACATTACATGCTTGAGTCATTGTATCATGGACCAAGCAGCCAAGAACACACAGGCACAAATGTAATCTTCAAAAAAATTGATTTTATTGTACCCCCGAAAGGACCAAATGATTACAAAAATTCAAAATGACAAAACAAAACTTTTTTTAAGAACCAGGCGGGCCCGTAAAAGAGGTTAACTTAACAAAATTCACTTCACAAAACATAACTCAACAAACTGACCTGCCCAAATGGGAAACAGCTCTAGTTATATAGCAAATGAATAAACTGTTATATACACCAAAGGTGACTAAACTAAAGAGTTAACAGCTAACCATCATTCAAGAAGAACCCCATCCCCCCCTACATGATCACAATAGATGGTCCAGTCCATTTTATTGGCTTCTGCATTTAAACCAGCTCCACCCTCAGCCTCCTCTTCCACCCAAACCAGGACTGGAGCAGAGGCCAGGTAGCTCAAAAAGAACAGAAATATAATTAATATAACACATACTCATATAAAACAACAAACAATGCAAAACAGAGTCTGTGCCACCGTTTGGACTATAGCTTAGTGCTGTCATGCATTACAGGTAAATTCAAAGTATTAAATTGGTTAACTTATGATCACAGAAGCTTTAGAGCACAATGTAAACGTAAGACAAAAAGATCAAATGAATATTACCCAAGTATTTCAATTGTGTGGTTGCATGCAGCCATCACACATTGCTTAAGAAACCCTATCCCCTTAGATACCAAGTCTTAGGACAGAGGACCATTGCTGTTCCTCTCCACTTACTAGAGATTTTTTTTAAAAAGAATTGTTTGTAAATTTTTTTGTTCCACAAATACAATTTTTTTCTGACTTTGGAAATGTGATGATGTATAATTAATAACTAATAATTTCCTACTAATAACTATAGACTAGTCATGTTTAGGAGAAATAGTTCACTGCAGAGTTTGACTGTAAAATAAAAT